GCTCACGGCCTCCCCCGCGGCAGCGGAGGCAGCAAACCTGCCGCCCTTGACGGAGGCGCAGAAGAACAAGCTGCGGCACCTCTCGGTGGTCACCCTGGCCGCCAAGATCAAGGTAAGGGCCGCGGGCCAGGCGCCGGCGGCGGGCGGGCGCGCCGCTGAGCGCCGCGCTCCCGCAGTGCATCCCCTACGCCGTGCTGCTGGAGCAGCTGCAGCTGAAGAACGTGCGGCAGCTGGAGGACCTCGTCATCGAGGCCGTGTACGCCGACGTGCTGCGCGGGAGCCTGGACCAGCGGAACCAGCGCCTGGAGGTGGATTACAGCATTGGGAGGGACATCCGGCGGGAGGAGCTAAGCACCATCACCCGCACCTTGCAGGAGTGGTGAGGAGGAAGCCCCCGAGGTGACACCTGGCCAGGCTGAGGAGGCCCCGGGGCTGCCCCGGCGTCTCCGCGCCCCACGGAGGGCAGCGGTGTTTTGAGGTGCTCTGCTCGCTCCCRTTGCCTACACCACAATGCAAAATCAGTTTTCGGCCCCTCTCTCTGCTGAGCTGCGTGATGGCAGCTCAGCAGCCTTTGCGTGGTGGTGGCTGCTGGTGGGACACCTCTTGAACAAAAGTCTGTATAGCCCCTAATCTGGTGTCACTCTGCTGTTCTCCACTGCCCCCCAGCCGTGTAATGGTGCTGCTGTGTCATTGCGTGGGACTGCTGCTCCTGGGACCCCTCTAACTGGTGTGATCATCACCTTCCAGTCCTGTTGGCATCTAGAGCCGAAATCTGCAGTCCCTTGCTTTTCTTTCTGTGCGGTGAAAGTCTTCCCAGCCTGTTCAGTCTTATATCTTCTCTACAGGTGCCAGGGTTGTGAAGTTGTCTTGTCAGGCATTGAGGAACAGGTTAGCCGAGCCAACCAGCACAAAGAGCAACAGCTGGCGCTTAAGCAGCAGATAGAGAGTGAGGTGAGTGGGATGGGGAGGGAACAGCCAGTACCTATCACTTAAAAATGCCTGGAGCCAGTGCTGTGTGGTTGTTACTGGCTGTGCTCAAGTAAGGTACCACCTTTCCCTACACAAGGACCCCAGGGCTTTGTGCTTCAAGAGCTCAGCTGCCCAAGTTCAACCGACTAACTCAGGATTCAGCTAAACCCTCTTCCACCCTGCAGAGATCTGGGTGTTTGTTAGATCTCTTGTTTGACCTGTTTGTTYGGTGCTTGCTCTTTCAATATGGCAGGTGGCAAATCTGAAGAAGACAATTAAAGTGACAACAGCAGCTGCTGCAGCAGCCACATCCCAAGACCCAGAACAGCACCTAACAGAGCTCAGGGAGCCAGCCCCTGGCACCAACCAGCGCCAAGCTAGCAAGAAAACCTCCAAAGCCAAAGGGTGAGGCATGGCAGCAACTGAACGTGGGCACTGGCTGTGTGTTTGTTGAGGAACTGACGTGGTGTGGTGGAGCTTCTGCTCCAAAGCAGTGAGGTTACCGACTGCAGAGCTCTGTTCCCTGGGCCCAAGATGGTCACAGATGTAGTCCCAACTGAGCTCTGTCCCCTACTGATTGGGAGGGAAGGGTGTGTAGCTCTTGATCTGAAATAGAGTTTGTCAGTCTTCCTAGCATCCTGCTCTTATCCTGTTCAGAACATYAGCCTCTTTCCTGTCTATGCGTCTGGAAAAGGAACCTGGGGTTGAGCCTTAGTGCTCTGCTCAAAATGTTCTCTGTCTCTCCACAGGCTCCGGGGCAGCGCGAAGATTTGGTCTAAATCAAACTAGTTGAATCTTCCTTCGCAACTGGGAGGGTGAGAGGTAGAGATTTTGGGGGCAAGGGAGCGTAGCAAGAGTCACAAATATGATGCTTCAAAACCCATCTCCAAGATCCATCTTTCCAACTAATTCTGCTGCATRTTTGTTCTCTCTCCTGTCTTCTTCCGTGCTAGGCAGTCTGTCCCTCTTCTGTCCTAGCATTTTTGCTCTCTCAGCTTCCATTTGCATGTGTTGCTGTTCCCCTGCCCCATGAGCCCCTATCACCACGACCGTACGTTTCTCTCCTTGTTTCTCCATTTCTCTCAACAGGTGAAGTATAAAGAGCTATAGAACTGTTGGTCACCCCAGCACCAGGTGGGCGTCGCAGAAGCTTGGAAGGAGGATGCTGGTGCTCTGCAGTCGTTTGGCTCTGCCAGACCGCTGGGACGCTTTGCCCTGCGATACAGCTGCCAGCTTTGACCGTTTTATCTTCGTTTTGCTGGGCGGGAGGGTAGTTTTTGAAGGGATTCTTTTAAAAAATATATAAATATATTATAAATATCTATAMACCAATAAAAATATAGATCTATGGACATATCTATACAAACTTGTGTTTTTGCAGTGGTATTTCATTATTCCTCGTGCATCCTCATTCTGGAGGTATCAGAAYAATTTGTCACGCTGAAAGCCTCTCTTCCATCAATGTGAAGAATGCCCTCAAAATACTTCCTGCACAAAAGAGAAGGGCTGCAGCAGCTCTATTGGGATGAAGGTCCACAAAGCAGGGATGAATTGTAGCTCCTATGTSAAGTGTTTCCATTTAGGATCTATAACTGCTGTTGGTCTGGAGCAAATCAAAGACTTTGGCCTTCCAGTCCTTCTGAGCTTTGAGTTCAGCTGTGTTGAATGGAGATGTCCTGCTGTGTGATTTCCTTTGAATTATCARTGAAGAATTTTGAGTTATCTTGTCCAATTGCTTTGCTTCCAGAACTTTTTAAAACAGGAATTTTCAATGAGGCTCAGGGSCCTGGGCAGGTGTGGAGGCTAGAAAGACCATTCATGTATTTTTGTCAGTACTGAGTGATATGGTACTTGTGTGACAAAGAATTAAGTGTAACAAAACTAATGCCAATCAGGGTAAGTTTTTGTAGAATATATCCCGTTTTCTCCATTCCTAGGTGATGTAATGTCTGGTCAGAAATAAACATTAATGTAATGACTGCTGTGAGATGCCCAGAAAAAACTCATCTGGTTCTTTAGAGGCTTGATCTTTGAGCCTGGCTTGATGTGTCAGGCAGATGTGAGAGTTAAACTGCTGTTTCACATTGATGTAAGCTGATCTAAGTTGACATACATCATGAATCCTACGCACTTGATTCTGCCTCTTGCTTTGTGCCAGTGCTAATAATGTCTGATTCCCTGAACCTGGATTGCTGCATGTCAGCAAACGGGCAGAAAATTTATCCGACARCTACAGCAAAAAGCCCTGATGGTTGGTTGCAAGGGTGAGGTTTTTACCAGCTCATTAACCAGGCTAATTTTGCTCTAGGTTAGTGAGCTGTTGCAGCTTCCTATGCAGATGGATTAGAGCTAAGGAAGAAGGTGGGGACTATACAGATAGGTGCAAGATTGTGGTGGGGTGAGACCATCTTTCTTTTGGTGGTGGCATAAGGCATTATGTCATCTTGCTGCTCAGGCTTCACAAAAAGCTGATCTGTGCCATTTGCTGTTTTATTTCACTGATTCTCAACTGTCACCATCCAGCAGTAACCTTCACTGAGAAACCCCACCATCCTGTGAGCCCATAAGCGCAACTTGCTTCCCTGCATGTGCTCACGATCTGCCCGTAAGGTCGCAGGGCCCGTGCAAGGGGCAGGGATGTATCGAGCTGTGACTGCTGTCACYGGCTGAGGTGTCACACAGAGCTAGTCCAGAGCACCCCTGCCACCACCACCACCCCTGTTCTGTGACCCTCTGCATCAAGCCTATTTGGTGTAGTTGGTTGGTGAGGAAGTACCAAGCAAGAGGACTTTGGCATGACGGTCAGGCGTAAGATGCAAATCCAGGGGCAGGAGAGCATAGAGAAGGAGCTAACCTTGTTTCGCCCCAGCTCACCTGGAGGGAGAGGTCTGGCTAGCTTGGTGCAATAATGAGTTTGCTTGAGTTGTGTTTTCCATAAAACACAGGGAGAGGCTGGATTATACTTTCATTTTTTGTATAAATTATCTTGAGCCTTTGCCTGTCCGCATCCCATAACCTTGGCCTGCCTCAGGTGGGGAAGGTCACTGCACTCCGTGCATCTGCAATTGGCTCTGAGAAGCAGTACTGTCTGCGTGCATCAAATTCTCCACCTCCTTAGGACAGGCTAGTACTACTGGGACTAAGGTGCTAACACGGCAAAGGCGCGATACCGAGCAAGCCCTGAGCACCTGCCAGATGTCAGCGGCATCTCATGCTCCTTGAAAGACAACCTAAGGATTCTAAGGAAAGAGCCAAGAATTCGCTCCCCGATGAAGTGGAAGAGCAGGACAAAGCACAAGTACTGAAAGGCTGTTGAAATCCAACGGCAAAGCAAACCAGGCACTCTGCAGTCACACTGACCTTCTGACACGAATCCCTGTCACAGGCATGAAGCGGTGGCACCTCTAGGGAGATCTGAGGTAACCAGTAATGGATGGGGATATTTGTGCCTCATAAGAGTCACGTTGCCACTTATGGAAAACAGATATAACTACCTGGCAGTGCAGCAGCAGGATGTACTGAACTCCCGCAGAGCTGCCAGCAGTGCCAGGATCTGCATTCCACGTTTCTTGGCTCCTTTCTGGCCTGTTATTCTTTGCTCTCTTTAACCATGTTGTGGATATTAGATATGGGAGTGGTTCTTGATTGTTTGCTTAGGAGTTTTTATTTGTTTGTTTAGATGGCTTGATGGTCTGGTTTTGTTGGTTTGCTTTTAACACCTTGGTTCCACAGCTTAAGCCCTGGCTTCAGAGTTTGGACGCTGAGTCAGAAAAGCCCATTTTGCTCCTCGAACCAGTACCAGGAGTTCCATGCTGGTCATTCTCCGCAGTGTCCTTGTACGGGCACTCTTCACGTGCCCACGTTAAGGCAGCTGAGCTCTGGGCCTGTTTGCAGAGAGATGCTCCCTTTCGTCTGGAGAGCACCGAAACTGGGGCCTGGCTAGCAGCAAGCAAAGGGCAGGAGGAAACAGGGCTCTTGCTGCACCAGCTTCTAGGCCAGGACRAAACCCAAGGCTCAGATATGCTCATGCCTCTTCGTACGTTTGATATCTTACTAAAGCCAGTGTTGCTAGGCCTCTGTGCCTCAGCCATGACTATCCCCTCCCTGCCAAAGGGCCAGCTTAACTCCCCTGCAAAGGCTTTTGGTTGATAAGCAGAGTCATAGCTCCCCTCTTCCCTTTTCATTCCTTACCGCCCTCAAAGCTTGTCGTATTGCAGATTCCAGAAGAGTTTCAGACTGAATGTATTAAATTGAGGGGTGTTTGCCCACCCCYGAAAGTCTTCCATTTTGTTTACTTTCAAAGGGAACACCTTTTAAGACCTCCATTAAAAAATAAGGAGAGAAGAAGATAGCCTATAAAATTAGTTTAGACCTTTTATTTATTTTATGACTGAAATATAAATGAGAGCTGTTCAGTGCTGAAAGAAAATACTGCTGCAAATTGTCTTGCCTGCTGACGGACTGCAGGCAGGGCCGCAGGTTTCCCTTCACCCTTCACCTGCAAAACCCGGCTCTGTTTCCTGCTCGCTTCAGCCGTGACTTTGAATTTCAGTCAGGGAGGATGTGAAGATTAATTAATTAGTTAACATTTGTAAATCACTTTGAAGATGGTGAGAGTGAGATAAGTACTGATCATTATTATTATAAGTTTTCATTTTAATTTTAAATATTTTTGGGGATTTTAACCCTGTTTCCTCCCAGATAAAAGATGAGAAAGCAGGCCAAGTAGAGCTGAGTATAAAGGTCAGAATACTTGATCTCCTAAGCACTGGCAAGGGGATGAGCCTGAGTGGATGGCAGAAGAGGGGATGTGAGTGATGGGTCAGTCCTGGCTCGAGGAGGAGGAAAACTGCCAGTTCTGGCGACACAAGTTTAATGGTTCTTGAAGAGTGATCCACTGCAACCCCTTGTTGTGTATTATATGTAGGACTTTGACATCAGGGTTCAAACAGGGACAAGGGCAGGAAGTAGGGCAGACGCTGAGTTGCTCTGTCCCCACACCTCCCATTCACACCTGGCTGTGGGGTGGGATGTCTGAGTTTGGGCAGGCGCTCCTCCAGCTGGCTTCTTCTAGGAGCTGCCTCCACCTTCTTGCTGGCGTTAATGGTGCTGATTCTCCTTACCGAATTAGTYGAGGAGGTGAGGACAGGATGGGGCAACCTGTCTCAAGTATGTGGCTGTTTYCTCTTCTTGTACAGTGTCTTCCCTCTGCAGTGAGCGCCCAGCCCTGCAGAGATTCCTCCAGGTTTCTTGTGGCTCCTGCTATCAACTACAGCCACATACACCYGCTGAGCTGAGCTGGGGCATTAGCAGCTATCAGTCAGGAGCTCAGAAATCCCCTTCCAGCCCCTCAGGGGGCTGGGGTGGGTGTCACCTTGGAGTAGGAAGTGCAAGGGAAAGGTACAGTGGGTGTCCAAGAGGAGTCCAGGATGAGGAACAAAGATTCTGGCAAGTCAAAGGAGCAGAGCACTGGCTCAAAGCAGAGGTCCAAGCACCCCAATATCCTACCTGTAACAGTTATCTGTACCTGATGGCTAGGGCAAAGCACAAGGGCAAGCACTTGCAGAATTCTCCCATCCACCTGTGATTTGTTTGCAGAGGATTACGAGTCAGAGGYGGTGCTTTTATGTTTAAAAGCTTTCAAATGGGCTCTCTCCCATGGAAGGTGATGGCCATTTTGTTAGCTGAGGTAGTTGAGGCTGCCCTTGTCCCTGATCCCCACATGAGACAAATGATGTTTTTTCTCAGATGGGCTATTGCTTGTGAAAAATGTCCCAATCTTATTTGTGCCGGRTTTCAGTGGGACTGCGTAGGGGGAGAAGCCCAGGGGGAGAAGGCTCGCGACAACAGGCTTCAGAAGGCCTGGTGCAGGGAGCACACGACCCCGCGGATCACAGCCCTGTTTCCAGTCACAGGTACAACTGGATTCCCCGTCCCTGGGGCTGGTACCTGAAGACAAACCTTGCAGGAAGGGTAGAAGCCGGACGCCCCTTCCACCCCCTCCAGCGCACGTCGGGATGAGCACAGGGGCATGGGTGAGCAGCGTGTGGCTGGGGTGGGCTCTGGGGTGGCTCCTGGGGGCGGCCCCATGCTGGGGACGGCCCTATGGCCCAACCTGGTCCCAGGGGCCCTGCAGAACCTGGGCAGCCACTGGCTGGAGGRGCAAAAAGGGCCATGGAAGCAGCGCGGAAGTGGGGCCGGAGCCGGGATCCCCTGCAGGATGCTGAGGCCCCACGGAGCCTCTGCGGGAAGGTGAGGGCAGAGGGGTGGGTGGGCAGCCCTGGCAGAGCCGGGGGCTCGCAGGGCCCGTGGGCTACCCATGTGCTGCTCAGTCCTCACGGGCACACATGGGGATCTCCCTTCCTTGCTGGAGGGGCTGCGGAAATCGCCCTTAGAAATGGGCCATAAGGATGGAAGGAGCGGAGGAGAAACAGTATGGACATAAAAACAAGGGGTGGAAGGCAGCCAAGGTAACCTGCTTGCAGACGGGGGTTGTGCTCCGGTGTGAGCTTGGAATTAAAGAAGTGCAACCCAAAGTGAGGTTAAAGGTGGAAACTGGCACTGCTTGGATAAGGAGGACAGGTCTTACTTCTCCCGTTAGAGAGGTCTTCTGAAAGTAGGCACAGTTGAAATTAGTTCTTCATTCCCAAGTGAAATTAGTCTGGCAGCTTTCCATGGGCTTTATAAGAACTGTAGTACATGCTGGTGGTAGTAAATC